AAACAGCGGTTCGTTTTCGTTTGGTATCCGAGTTACGATTGCTCGGATATCGATCAGCTTGCGATTGACCTATATTCGGTTGTAGTTTCTTCCATTTGACCATCGTGTTGGTATTTTTCTTGTTCCGATGCGTGTGTATATCGTGTGTTTTTTTTTTCGTGTTTCGTTCGATTTGTGGGGCGAGTGGCTCCAATCTAAATCTAACATAATAGGTTTCGAAGGGGATGTATTGCTTACTTGGTCGCGACATCGATGCCTGGCTCATGCCAATCATTCATTGTATTCTTGAATAACAACAATACGCGCTCATTGTTCAACAACATTGTGTTATTGTACTTCGATTGCTTTATCGTTTGTGTTAAATAACACAAAGTAGTAAAAAGCAGCCAAGCCCAAAATCAGTTGGTACACCATTGTGTGTCAACTCTTTTCGACGGCCCAAAAATGGGATTAGATATTTTTTGACGAAAGAGAAGGAGGTTATTGTACCTGATAATATGGCGTTTATTTTTGGTTCAATCTAAAAATAACGAATGTGATCATCGTCTTTCGCATGTTCTCCCTCGTTACGTTCGATTACATTGTCGATGAATGCTAATTAAATGTGCTACGATACAAGTGAAAGCGGATCAGGGTGCCTGGTTATTTTCGGTGTATCACACATGTATGATTAAAACGCTTGAGTAAATATTTTCTTCGGCGAAGAGATGAAGATGGAACGAAAAAGTTTGAGCTTCTGTTTTTGAAGCTGATGTTGATGTTTCATTTCGAAATTTTATGATTAAATAAACTGGATAGCATTCAGTGGATGATGTAGCCACATGGTGACGTCAGTTTTATGATTAAAATGTTGCTTTGTCAACAAGAATCGAGCAAAAGCAAAAATAAAAATGATAGGCATCAACAAACACAATGACTAAGTCGCCAACGACGACTACGAATGATGATGATGTGTTCCATTGATTTTCCCTCTCAAGTAAAAGTGTGTAATCATCCATGGCTTTTAAAAGTCTTCACTTGCATTTGATGATTTGCATTTGTCGGCGAATGGCGAAGGATAGATGCTTTTAGCATGAAATGAATAATGAGGAAGTTATTCAAAATATAATGGAATTTATAAGGAAAACTACTAGTAAATCACGAGAGAATGAAGAGAAACACCACAAACGGGAAATTACGATCTCCCCAGCCTAGATATGCCATTAAGTGCATGGTTGATGTACATGTTTACGATGTAGTAAAACATTCGAACGTTTCGAGTTCGCTGACCCCAAACACTTTCCGATACTTGTGTTCCATCGGTTTTCTTTTCCTTCTCTATTTTCCTTTGTAAATTACATTTCGAATATGAGTTGACGGAATGCGGTGGAATATGAAAAATATATATTTTCCATACACACACACTCGCACACTTAGAGTTGGCAAATTCCTTTTTCTTCATCATTCACACACATCGCATTCAATGCGGCGATTCACATTCCAAATCACCAACAAACACACATCATGCATACTACGCGCACGTTTTTCTTTCAATCTCAATTACAAATTCATGAACAGATTGTTTACCTGTCAGGTCGATTCTCGCAATTTGTAGTCAAATCACAAAAAACCGTTTGCCTTCACCTTCTTTTTATTGTTTCTTTCTTGATTATGATTTAGAGCGTTTTACGTTCTTTTTTCGTCTTTTTTAACACTCACACACGTTGTTTTTTTTTTCCTGCTTTTTGCCAAGAGATTTTGCACTAGTTTTTGGATTCGATTCACATCGCCTACGGATCTGTCAATAAAATGAACGTTGTGTGTTGTGAATGTTTGCTCTTTTGCTAGCCGAACACACTAGTCACACAGCTATGAAACACACACTTGGCTCTCGGTACACACAAGAATCGAATTGTTGTGTTCACGTTACGATGCACCCATTCACTTTATGATTCTTTTTTGTTCCACATACACACAAATGCACGGTATGAAATGATATGAAAAGAGTTTGCGGCAAAAGTACACAAGCATCAGTTAGGCATGGTGTGCATCCAACACGAGATTCATCTGTTCGCTCTATACTCGGTATGTGTCGTTGCAGACCAAAAATGCAGTTGTACTAGTTCAGTTCAGTGCAGTGCAGTACATTGTTGCACATGGATGGCAAACTCGCAATTCAAACGGTGGCCACCATTCATTTTTACCATTTTCTCTCACTTATCATAACACTTTGACTTGAAAAATATTGAAATGGAAAAATTCATATTTATTCTTGTTTTTTTTTTTTTTTATCCCTTGTTCTATCTAATAGAAAATATAATCCTCGTTCATGGTGTTTGTGTATGAGTGCAATTTCCACATTCCTGATTCACTTCAATTCCTCGGTTTTGAATTTCAAACACTGATTCACATCACGATTATTCTATTCAAATTCAATTTACCAACTTTTAATTTTTAACAAAACTTTGTTCGCTCACACTTGATGAATACACTACGTCATTTTGAATAAGAAACTAGTTTGCAGTTCTATTCTGCTCGTTCCATTTATAAATAACTATCGATATGTCTGGTCAAAATCCAGCTCAGAACAAGAAAAAAATATTATTCCGTCGAATTAGGAATAGAAAAAAAACACCGTACAATACAAAGCAACCGCTTGATAGCACGGCCAACAGTAAACAAATATTGTGGACGTAGACACAAAGTGTTCGCGCTTCTTTCGTTGCTTTGGTTGATTTTCTGTCGCGCGCGCGTTTTGTTCACTCGCTCAGTCGCTTGTTCGCACAACGGTAGCTTACGTTACATGCTGCGTTTTACTCAAGACCGCTAGCTGCGTATCGCCTGTGTCGCATGTACTTCAATGGATATTCATCTTTTTCGGATTGGCATAAGCCATTGCCCTGCGATGCTACACTTACTTTGTGTGAACGAGAGATGTGTGTATGTAATAAATCCATAAAGAATCGACAAAGAAAGGAAATACAATCGCTTTGACGCACGCCTGCGTATGTTTGTGATAGTGATGATGGTGGTGGCGGTGTCGATGTGTCGTCGTCGTTGTCGTTTTCCTGATGAATTTTCCGATTGTGAACGCATTGTTTACTTCGGAAATGTGGCAACAGCCCGTACGACCACTTTGCGATAAGGGAAAAACACATAGAGTTCGACTCCAAAACGAGGGATGCAGAACTATAGCATTTCTCTCGGATTGCCTTTGTTCTCAATCTTGCGCTTTGCTTTGCCTATTGCATTCGTGACTAAATCTTCTATATTGCACATTTATTTCATTGGTGAAATTCTTTTTTCGGTGAACAAACCCGAGATTATTGCGAGACCATTAAAAAATAAATGCAACTTCATGAAAATTGTATTCAATTTGTAGTCATAGAAAGAGCGTCAGTTTTTAGGGTGAGTGTGGCGAAAAAAAAAATTCGTACATATAAACAATATATTCGGATCATTTATTAATGATTTCGGGGCGAATGACAGCGCATGTGCCGAACGTATGGTTATTGGATTGTCGATGCAAATCGAAGCATTCACACTGCTGCTGTGTGTTGATTTGTTTATTTCGCATTTTGTGCGTCCAGTGAACATATTTTTTTCCAAAAAATATACCCATCCGCTCCGATTGTGAATTATTGTATTTGTTTCGCTTGTTCGTTCGCCGTCCTGTTGCTCTACTGAATTTGCGTGTGTGGAAACATCACGAAATCAATTGTTTGTCATAGCAACTGCGGCTATCTTTATTTGTATATACACGCCACAAAATGGTTTTTTGATCGATATATGTGACATATATGTGTTGCGTTCAGCTCTACCCATGCGTTTTTCGATGATGATGATGATGATGGAAATGCTTTTAATAACGAAACATGGAATATAATTTCCTCTTTTGTAGAAAAAGCGTCGTTACTTGATCGAAATTGGTTTTAATGGTTTTTTTTTTCGTTTGGGTATGGGCTAACTCGCTCTCGAATTCCACGCCGGATATCGAATTAATCGGGCTGTTATGTATTGGAATAACAACGTGCAAAGGTTTAAATAGCAATGGACAAGCCGTGATACCGTTGGTCTAATAAATGCACACAATCATTGGTTGTTCAATGAGTCGGAAGAGAGTTCATTCACCTTGAATGTTTGAATACAGTTTCGTTAAATTGGGGGCTTCATTTATCTTCTCCAACTTTTCTTAGCCATTGTTCCAACACACAGGCATTCAAGCGGTTGTTGTGTGTATGCTTTTTTCGGTGAAATTTGGTTCAAACGCAGAAAATACTACCATGAGTTATACTTACGCATGATTTAACTGTAAACCTCGCTCATACTCTTGCTCCCTCATAACCCTTTTCCATTAACCGACGGCACCAGTTCGAAACCAGTTACACATTACGGAGCTAGCATATTGGATTAGCTACAGTCGACCCCATCGGTGGTTTCACTCTACGTCATGGAATTTAAAATCGATCAACGCTAATTGAATCACCGTCTCATAGCCGTCACTCACGCAAACTTAACTCGTCTCTTCCCAATACGTATACCTCTATACGTATAGTGAAGTAGTCGCAACCGCCCTGTCCCGTGTGTTTGTTTTATGTTTCATCGGGATTATAAACATGGAAGAGATATTAGACGACTTGTTTTTCAGCCAAAACACCCGATAATAAACATTACACTTGTTGTATATCGAATTTCAAACGCGATGCTATTTATGTTTAGCCGACGCTGTCCAACAATGTTGACGGTAGCTATAGCAATGCAATGGATATGTGTACCGAACAGAAAAACGGAAAATTTTTAATGGAATTTCGCTGCTGCTGCTGTGATATTGGCTTCTATAGTAACCTTTCCATTGTCATTGCTGATTGTGTTTTTCTACCGCTGATGCACACTCATTATTATCAGCTTGAACTTCAATTGGAACAAAAACGCACATCCCATTTTTATAGAACCAGGGTGGTATATGTCGAGAGAGATAGATGATTATGGGTATAATATAATTAATCAAACACCAATTTACGTCATTTGCTTAAAATAATGCTATTTTAATGAATTGCGAGTGTTGTTTGGCAAATCAGCTTCGAAAATAACCTGAAGCCACATTTTTTTTTTTTTCAAATGAACGATTTATGTTTTGGAATTTGGGTGAACAGTGAACATCGATTTTCTTTACATCCGATTGATGTTCAACGGAGATTTTCTTGTAAAATGATTCTTCTTTTCTTTCGTCAACTCATCCGACTTTCTTGTCGATTGGAGAAAGGGTTTTGACGGTGATTGAACAAGCTTTGTTACAACCTTTTTCTGTCTGTTCTTTACAAAAATGCCTTAAAATAATTTGCACATAAAATACATAAAAATTTCTTATCATCAATAATATCTATGACTTTTGAGTATAAAATTTTGGCTGAATCAAGATTTTTTCGATTGGTTTTTTTCTTGGTAGATGCTTTGGGTAAAAAAAAACTTTGGTATGAACATTTGTGTCAATTTTTTTGGTATTCATATTTTTATTCTTAACTTATTTTTTCAAAGTATGAAAAAAATCATTCATTTCATTGGAAAAGTTCAATTTTTTTTTCTCATTTTGAGCATTTTTCGTCAAATAAAATGTTCTGAATTTGATTAAAAATGTGTTTCATTAGAAAATGTTATTAATGTAGCTAATACACGAAATTTTGAAAGAAGCGTCTTATTGGTTAATAGTTTTTTTTTTTTTTTCAGAAAAATGTCTATGATTGTATTTCGAAATGTGTAGTCTTCCTATATTGGCCTCTATAAAATGAGTTATTGTATTTCGGTGGTTTTGTGCCAATGTCAGTTCGAGTCAAAAGTCGACTTTTACAACGAAAAAAAAAATCCTTCGAAATCCCTATGGCCTACGCTGCACGTTACACTCCAATAAATATCAATAAATATAAGTTTGAGATTTGTAATTTGTTCCCAAGAGTTCATTTTCTTCTTGATCCGTTAGTATATTGAGCAATATATGGTTTTAGTAAAATTCTTTCACGAGATAAAAAGTTCCGATGAATATAGATAGATTGAGAATGATGATGGTATATTGATAAAGAGGTTCGATATTGTTTTATTTTTTTTTTTCTTCAAAAAATCACTTTGATATTCTGAGTATAGGTTACTAGGTTGTTTATTCATGCATAAATTTAAATGGCTAATATGGGCTGTCTGTATGATCCATTATTCTCTCCTTAAAAATTGCTCAAAAATCCAATGTCATTCGATGAAAGAATAATAAAGCAAATCAAATGACACAGCTAAGAGACACGTTCTTTGGTTTTCAACACTTAACAGTAATTTGCGATAACTCAATCATATAAACATATTATGTGAAACGGAAAAAATTTGGCAACAATTTAAACTTAATCGAAAATCGCGCTTAACATTTTTCGAACACATTACATTTCGTATCATTGAATACTTTCTCGCTCTCGAATCACGCGCTCTTTAAATAAAATTATACAAAATTCTCGTTGTTGATTCGTGCTGGTGGTGGTGACACAACATAGCAATGTGACATCCCACTTTACATGTATGTTGGTTTCATTTTGTACGCTCGCTTCCATATTTCGCACAGGCAAACTGTGCTGTGGAATCGGTAGAAAATCGCCAATGGCATTGACACATGGGTGATTATGGTCCAAGCCCAAAGACCATAGAAATTCAACTGAATCGGATGACTTTCTGCTCGTGATTTTTCCAACGTGCTAATCGCCCACATTGCAAGATTCGCCACAAGTAGAAATGTCACAATCTCACGGCCAGGCTTCTTGCGCATATGCTCAGCGGTCGCTGCATTTCGTCGGCTCGCATCCAAAATGAACATCGTTTGGCAAGCCGTTTGAACGATCGATGCTAGTGATGTGATAAGTACGAGATGTGTATCCTGTTTTCGCATCGTAAAATAACTACCAATGACTGAAAACCTATCGAAAAAGGGGAGAGAAAGAGTTGAAAATTTGAAACAATAAGAAATAACTTTCTTCTAAATGATCCAAGTTAATATTCTCATTTCATTTATATTCAAATCAAACTTACATGCTGTATAAGAAAAGACCCGTTTGTCCTGTGAATAAACAGAAAAATAGTTTTGATAATATATAGAAAAGCAAAGATAATATAATATGAATTTCTAGTTTAGGTCTCACCTCCAACTAAGAGAATGTCATCCAAAGTGAAGTGTCTCAGAGAGTCGTATTGCAAATGCCGTATTTGAAACATGCCGATTAACGTTGCGAAAATTGCCGTTCCATAAAGTGTCAATTCGCAAATGGTCACTTCAGTCACTGCTACTTGAACAAATTCCGGTCGCGAAATCAGAACGAAGAATAAAATTAATGAAATAATTGTCAAAACTAGGATCAAAATGCCGATGAAAAGGCCCTTATGAGCTCTGGCGCAATCCTAAATATGGAACAAACAATGCACAATGATTAAATTGAATAAAAAATTTAGTTGAAAGTTGAAAAAATGGAAAAAAAACCCATACGACTGAATAATGATGTGGCGAACGTTTGCACGGTGAAAGGCCTTCGATAGGTCGAACGCCTGGTTCTGGCTGTGGTCGACAGATTCCACGCCACATCACATACAGAATAGCAGCACAAATCAATGAGTATTCAATCGTGCACGGGAACAGAAACGGTGACGCATCTTGAACCAATGTTCCGATAATATTCGTACGACGACATTCAAAGATGTGATGCGGCCCTTTCAAACCACGTGAAACACGAAGATGAGCAGTTGTCACGTCATGCAAGGAATGATGATCCAATGAATGACCCATCTGCTGGCCAATATGCTGACCCAATTTGTTGCCTGTAAAATAAAAATACAATGAACAAATTGAAAGAAAATCACGAAGGCAACGACTAAAAATGGGGAGAAAACAAAGTAAAATGTAGAAAGAGAGAATACGAAAGGGTAATGAAAAAATGTTTTCAAACGAACCTAATCGATGTGAAATACGTAGCGTTCGATTTTCGGGATCGTAAAAGGTTAATATTTCGTGTTTCGTTTCTTGAATTAAAACGCTGAGCCAAACGGATAAATTCGTGCCAATCATGTGCATTAATCCGAATCGTGCGATAATTTTATGTCGATAAACTTTCATTTGCTGGAATAAAAAGCGCATTAGTTTAGATCTTGCCGTTGTTTTCATGCTTAGTAGCCAATTTCTGTACACATTTCAGACTTTAAAAGTCTTCTTTGTTTCAATCAACGAACTAATTACCTCGTTGTTTAAAAAGATGAAATACATTTGAATGAAAATGAATGCCATTCGAGTGGCTGGTGTCAATGCCAGTAAAACATTGTGACATTTGGTGTCACGTTCAAGTTCAAAATACTGGCCAAACTCCAAGCCTGAATATATCATTGAACCTATTCCGAAGGCTGTCAAAACAATTGCAATTGAGATTAATTGTGTGTGTGTGAGTATGTGGCTTGATGGAAATGATTTAAAAGCAGCTTAATGCACTCACCAACCGCCCCCATACGCAAATAGAAACTTCCGAAATGATGGCGTCCGATTGCAGCAAGCACAGAAGGTCGTCTTGGCGAAATAATCACATTACGCTTTGGTTTTCTGTGACGTGATGATCCACTTTCCGTGCCCGACTCATCAGAACTATGCAATTCACTGGAAACACTTTCTGTGTCACGTCTTACCTCTTCTGCAGAAAAAAATTAAGTAATTTTTGTACAATGAAATAAGGTGACGGAAATCACGAGAGTCTGATCAAATTCTCATTTAGAAATAAAATTATCAAGTTGTGCGTAAAAAAAACGTTTTGCTAATCAAATCAATTGACATACTTTTCAGTTTAACCACTTTTGGTCGTCCCCAAATGATGGTTGCATACATGAAGAATAAAAATAACATACTGCCTACGTATAAATACAAGTAAAAGACCTGAAAATATAGAATATTGTTTGAATTTGAGCTCATTTTCATGTCGGAAAACCTAAAGCGGTTTTTCATAAATTGAAAGAAAAAATCAATTGGACAAAATCGGTCGTAGCTTTTTCGAAAGTTCGAAAAAAAGGTGAATCGACTAAATGATGTTTAATGAAGTAAAATCAGAATGCATGAAATATACCTCATAAAATGACGGTGGAATATAGGAAGAAATAACTTCTGCCATTGGAAATGCAATTCCCATTACAACCAACAATTTCCCGTACAGCGCTGACAATGTCGTTGCAAACATTTGATATCTGTGTGGAAGAGAGTGAGAGAGAGAGAGAAAAACAATTGTGTTATAATTGGATGCATGCACAATTGTGATGGCAATAAAAATGCGATAAAAGTAAATTGAACAACAACTAACGCTTTGATTTCTGGTGGTCGTGTGTAAACGACAGGTGGCAGTCGTGAAGGTCGACGTACAGGCGGTAATTGAGGATGCACTGAATGATGATGATGGTGATGATGTGACGAATGATATAACAATGCTAGATGATGGCCAGTAGTTGGTGATGTTTGTGTTGTTGTTGAATTTTGGCACCTTTGCTGACGATCCAAACCATACTAAACAGTCCGAAAATCGAAATGAAATTGCATTAAAATCTCGAAAATTTTTAGAAAAAAAAGTTCTAAATGTACATCACTGTGAATGCCTGAAATGCCACTGATTGAAGAGTGTGGATGATCGGCTGGTGTTCCGACGGCAACGGAAGCTAATTGGTGATGCGTCGAAATCGACAGAGGCATTCTTGAACCAATGGTCTCGTCAATCACTTGATGCTGTAGATTATGTGGCGGTGGTTGTTGGTAGCAAATCCGTGAAGTTTTCGCTGGTGACGAATGGTGTGACAACGTTTCCGGCGAAACAACAGCAGTATTGGATAGAGTAGGTGATGGTGGCATTTTGATTGGAGGTGGCTGAATTTCCATTAAAGCGCTGAAATTGAACAATTTGCACAAAATGAACAAGCGGTAAAAAATCGATTTGGAAGCAAATAAACTGGAAAATGGATTTTAAATTGAATAAACAAATCGAAAAAAGGAACTTTGAAGAGCAAATCGAACTAGAAAAATTGTCTACACAGTACTTGTTATTCCATGTGCGGAGAAGCGCACTTTCGTTTTCAAATTTGTTATCTCGCGATGCTCGGTCTGTCATTGCCGTCAGTGCAATATTGAATGAAGAATAGAAAACGTTTTACTGACGAATGACGACGCTTGAATTGCGAATATAAGATTTCGGCACATTCTGGTGATGATCCAATTGAATAAATGAAGCGACTCTTCCACTTGTCGCGTACGGTATGTGTGTGAATTCTCTCTCTCTCTCTCTCTCTCTCTCTCTCTCTCTCTCTCTCTCTCTCTCTCTCTCTCTCTCTCTCGTCATCCATTCGATTGAGTTGTTAAATGACAACACAACAAGCACTAAATTCACTGCTGAATGAAAAGCTTTTTAAAGTGGATCAATTGTTTGCTGCAATCTCATTGTGTTCGGTTTAATGGCTTTAGTGTAGCTATACCGGTTGATTTCCTTTCTTCTGCCATGCCATTCACGTTCGCATATACACGATGTCGCGTTGCTAGAGTGCAATATATTCGGCTAGGATAGATCAATGAATTTGATTGGGTAATCAGCTAGAATTTGCTCGAGACAAACGCTGGTTTTGTGTTTTTCGTACAATTGCGATGGAATTCAAGAGAGAGAGAGAGAGAGAGAGAGAGATTTTGGAATGATTTATGGGTGGATGTAGGTTGTCTCCGAGGCGTCAATTCATCAAATCAAATGAGAACACGAAACTTTTTGATCAAACCGAAGAAATGAGCACACACATTTCAGACGTATCGATGTAATTTATGGGAGTTTATTTAAAAGTTTCTTCGCGATCCGAAACTATTTTTGGCAGCGGCGGCACATGTGAAATTTGACGATGTAAACGTGATTGTTAACACGGTTTATTTTTATGAAAAACATTGATGTTGATTGCCGTTTCCTGTTCGTTATGTATAAATGCACATTTGAGCGCTCTGTTGTCACTTGACCTACGTTCGACGCATTCAATCATAGTTTTTTTTTTAAAGAATTTAATCCATCAGACGAACGAGTTCATTCATTCATTTGTTTGTCTTGGGCTACGAGTTCACATGGATATGCCAATGCCTTATCACAAATGACGTTCTCGGCAGATCTTTGACAATAATAAATCACAAAGCGCATTAAAGTTTATACACAGAGAAAGAGAGTGCATTTAAGTCTTCTCGAATATCGCCAAAGGGATTCGCACAAAGGGAGCACAAACGACTATAGGAATCACAGTGTGTTTGAAACCGAACCAAACCAAACAACTAATTCTTATCGTAAGACAATCCGGTATTTTTTTTCTGCTCCCCTTTTCTCTCTTCTCCCTTTTCGATTCTTTTTCGCATCATATATTTCTGCAAATCATGCACTCGTGATTGTGCTGCTAGGCTTTCCGTTGGTGAATGGTGGTGATGGGAGGAAGGAAGGCATATAGACCATAAATTCTGTAGTCAAACAATAATATCTAACCCGATTAAATATCCATTCGCCATTTGTCACGGTAAACAATGCAAACAATATGAAATGGAAAATCGCACAATCTCTTTCGCTTTGTTTTGTACGGATGGCATAAATCGACGTGACTGTTATTCCCAATTCAGCCACATTCAGCCACTTGTATGTTTCTGACTTATATTGCAAAATCAAACAAAAGCAATACTTATATCTCGTAGCGATATACACACTCACATTTAACATATCTGTGTGCTGGAAATTGCTTCCGTCGATTGGCATTCAAATCGACAGCGCGCGAATGATAAAGAAGAAGCAGGAAAAAAAATGAAGACCATAAGAATGCATTCAGCAAATAAATATTACAATAACTCAAAGTCTATGAGCTTATGGTGTATTCCGTCGTAGTTTATTGTTGTATTGGCGGTTGTTCGCTTTTATCGTAAGTGGCGAACAACAACATTTGACGAAAGTGCACGCAATATTCCATCACAGGGCTGTCGAGCAGCAGAAACAACAATAAGAAGAAGCAACGAGGTTATCGACCTACATATTGCGTCGTACTTTCGGTTTTTTTTTATTGCCATTCGCCGTAGACCATGGAAGAATGTTTGCTCGCATATCTTTGTTTGAGCGAGTGTGTAAGAGAGAGAGAGAGAGAGAGAGAGAGAGGGATGTTGTACGGTTCTCCCCTTTGGGCCAATTGTTGTAAATTCGAGTGAGTGAGAAAAGTTTCCCTTGTACAAATGAAGCAAAGTTAGTTTTGTGTGCGCGCTTTGTGTTATGTGCATTGACAACATGTGCGTATAATGCGCGTCGTTCTGTTTTTCATTCTACTGGCGTTTGGGTATTTGCTTTACGTATTTCCACAGCAATTTAAATACAATTCGCCTAGTGGATTTTTGATTCGCAGCCAAAGTGAGAAAATCCACACATTCACAAAAAACTGATTTCTTTTTTTTTCTTTACATACTTTTTTCTTCTCTTCTCTGTCGACAAAACATATTCACTCCGACCGCACCAACGAGAGAACAATTCAGACAATTTGAAATGTTGGGGTGAGACTGAATCAGTAAGAAAGCAACAGAACAAGAAGAAAAAAAAAACTGCTATTTGAAATGAGAAAATTCTTTGGCGCCGCTTTTTGTTACTTGTTACTCACACTTTTCTACATCTACTCGGAGAAATTATGGTTTTCGAAGAATGTTCCTAAATTATTCAAGTGGTTATAGTAGGTGGGTTGTTGCATTCACAACACATAATGTGCCGCGGGTTTTTATTGTTTTCAAACGACGATGCATCGTCTAAACGATAATTAGAGCATAAATTAGATGGAAGCGAAAAAAAGGGAATTGAGAGAGAGAGAGAAAGAGAGAGATCTTTATCAATTTTTGGGGAATTGTAAATGCTCCATGCCCAAGGAAATTGAACGTCAACAGCTAGTAATAAAGCACTAGAGCGAGAAACAAGACGGTTTTGAGCATAGCATTATGTTCGTGCATCGTCTTTCGCTGTCATTTAATTTACGACGAGCAACCCTTGTAAACATTGTAAATGGGTTTTGTGCCAGTGAATAAATATCACACACTTTTTGAGTGCTTGATTTTTATTCAAACATATTGTACACGATTTATCTCTCTCTCTCTCTCTCTCTCTCTCTCTCTTTCTCTCTCTTTCTCTCTCTTGATAATGCATCGTAAATAGAACCTGTTCGTCGAGGTTAACATCAACATCGTGGCTTACGACTTGAATGATGGTTGCGTGTGCGAGTGTGTAGAAAACCCTTATTTTTGATGCGTGCCACCGCTGGCTACGACATTTATTGTGCGTAGAGGTGATCATATTTGCAATTCACTTAGTTCATGAATGTGAATACATGTTGAATGAAAGTACAAAATACATTGTTCAACTTGATTACGTGCATGCTCTTACCCTTCTTCATCGTCGACCAATGGTATGTTTGGCGGCATCATTTGAAGCAGATCGGTTTTCAGTGCTGGCAAAATGGGCATCGGCAATGGTGTTATCTGTGAAATGTCCTCTTCATCGGTCGTGCTCGCATCCGTTAAATTGGTTATTGTAGACGTATCCAAAGCGCCCGTGGGAATAGTTGGAATAGATTCTAACACCGGTGGTGGTGGTGGAGATGGTGGCGGCGATGGTGGTGCGGGAGGCAATGGTTCATCAATTACTAATTTCAACTGCTCGATTTTTTCATCGCTTTCAACGTCTTGAACAACCGGCTCGGGTGGTAACACGGCAACCGCTTGTGATTCACTCGAATCACTTGCAATATCAATATTATCCGGTGCTGTCGCAACTGTTGCTACTTCTTCGATATCGGAATCAATGCCCTGTTTAAATTCCATATAAAATGAGTCCCTGGAATCGTTTGACCCTCGTCTCAGTTTCAATGATAAATCTGGTGAACTATCCATCTTGGTTTTCTTTAAATAAGTCAGGTGAAGCACACAAACAAATTCTAAGGGAAAAATTTCGATAAATTTCAACTTCGACCTCGCGCGTACACACACGTACAGCAAACTGCTTGCCGTTTCGCTCGATTAATTTTTTATTTGACCGATTCGCACAGCAAAAAGGACACTTGGTTTCGAATTCAACACACTCACTCACTCGTTTCGCATTCGAGTTTATGATTAGAAAGTACTTTTTTGGGTGAATTTCATCGATTTTAGAATCTCATCTGGACCGAATACGATAATTTGGTCGATGCGTGCCCCCAGTGAAAAGCAAAAAGGAAAACAGGGCGAAAGACCGGACGGCAACACACAAACAAATCTCGTCGTTAAGAAAATGTTTATTTAAAATCACACAAAATTTCTTCGCATTAAATCACATTTATTAGTATTCGGCGGCTGTTGCGCGCACTGAACTGATTATCGAGATTCAATTCGCGTGGTACAACGATAAAAAAATTTTATGAGCATCGAATTTATGAAGTGGCTCTGGTTGCGCTTTTCATATTATACGGCTTGGGCTGTACCCAAGCAACTGACTCTGAAGTGAATTGAATCTCACACAATCGCCATTTGAACACGGGACAACACAGGCAACTGGCGCTGTTCAATAACTTTTTCCAATGCTCGTAATATTAATTCGTTCTTTTTTCCTCTCTCTCGCTTCACTCTCGTGACAACGACGGAAGTTAGTTCATCGTATGTATTTATTTCCCCTAATTTTTCACAATTTGCTGATTATAGTTAATCAGTGGCCATCGCACCATCGCACAGAAGCACACTTCACAGCACTAAAACCATTCACTTAGAAATAAACTTTTATACAAAAGCCCTCGGTTTATGTGTGTTTTCATTATTGATATTGGTGGCATTTTAAAATATGCCCCGTGAACGCGTTTTAACCACGGTATTAATGTAATGTAAAACGTATATATACGTCGACGTGTTTTGTTGTTGTTGGATTTGTTTTTTCATTTAATGCTCTCTTTTGAAAACCTCACTTAACATTGATCATAACTAAAACACATCTGCTGGAGCAGAATCATTTGTTTCAATTGGTTTTGAGTACGGGCTCTGGTTGTTGCTGTATTTTTTTTTCCTATTTTATTTTTTGTTTTTGCATTTGTCTGTGAACTTTATTTTGCGCGCCGCTTGAATCATGTGTGTAATTGGCGGTAGAGAGAGAGAGAGAGTACGAGGCAGTAATGTTAATCAGAGTTGAGTTGCCTAAATCGTTAATGCAAACACATTTCAGTCGATTAGTGGCTGTAGAAGTCGGTCATGTGCACTCATCATCGTGTCATCATCATCAGCGGCATAATATCGCGAGGAGAGAATGCGACCGCACAGACACACCGTGTGTTGTACAGAGTAGACGCAAATTCTTATAATTGAAATCGTTTCAATCAATTTTAATGAATTTGAATGAGTATTTATTTGGTGGCTTCTCACTTATCTTAAACTTCATCAACTTCCTAATCATACCATCACTTGTTCACGCACTTCGGCTTGTTGTATCGATATTTATTACTGATTGCAATTAAGTACAGACAATTTCAAACCACCTTTTTCACCACTTAGTCACAGAAATCGAACTTTGTAGCCACACTTTGTTGCCGGATGCTTTTTTTTCCCAGTCGTAATGGCAAATAGCCAAAAATTCAATCGCTAAATAGTTTCCTGTTATTCATTCATTGTATTGAATGGAATGGCATCTTGACTGGAATGCAACGATAAAGCAGCCCTTGAGGGCTGAAAAAAAAGGAAACTTTCGAGCAGCCGGGGAAAAAATCAACTTAATCAACACACAGTTCCTTCAGGCACAACTATATTCAGTCGTATAGTTGTGGTTGTTGTAGCACATAAAACGTAAACACACGCCCACACAACTCAATTAAAAGCTGAGCAGCAAATCAAGCACTTCGTGTTCCCTTTTTTTTTCTATTCAATTGTTTATGCACTTTTGCAGAAAATTACTTCCTAAAACTGAAAATCGCACGACAAACCCGGAAAACCAAGTTCGCTCGTTTGATGTCGTTATTGTCGACAATCAAGGTGTTCCGTCTTTTCTCGTCGCCTTTTTCTTTGCTTCTTTGCTCGCCTCCGATCCTTTATTGTGCGACCATACTTTTCGTCTGAATAAATGCTTCTGATGTGAGTTGCCGCTACACAAACACCGATGATGCCATATTCTACTCTGAATCTTTATTCTCTCGCTGTCTCTCTGTCCCTCTCTTGGGATGAATACGAACAATGTTTGTGTGTTGTGCGGCTATATCGTTGTATGCAGGCACTTATGCACAATACTCACACGCACACACACACACACCCATACAACCGCACACTCCTACAATAAAGCACTCTCGTTGTTGGAAAATTGGTTCGACGCTACCGAACGCATACACCCGCACCCAACACACAATAGAAACCGAAATGATAACGGGAAAATATACGCAAGTCCGTACGATCGAGTCGATTTTCTCTTCTCCCACAGAGACATGATTTAGTTACGCTGCTCGCCATTGTACTTGTATTTATGACACTGTGCTGGTTATAGCTGCTGCGAGAGAGATACCGAAGCGAAACCATACAATTAAATAGCAATAAACAGTTAGCTGAGATATGTGGTGTCGAAGCGACTGCCGACTTACTGACTTCAGCATCGGGGTTATTCAATTAATGCAACTGAATCAAATGGCAAATAGATGTTATCCTCATGTCATCTCTCATTCATTTGACTCCTTTTTTCCTACAGCATCATCATCGCTTCCGCGCCCACACTTCAATATCAAGTAGCTTTCAAGTGGTTGATAAAACATCATGAAAGACATATAAAGGTTTCACGGGACATGTTTGTTGCCAGCGCAGACAAATCACTCAAAGATCTGAAGCTCTAGCCATGGGTAGTTCATTTTTGTTGCACAAATACCTAACTGAACAATGTTACACACTTCTTCTGTTCTCATCACAGAAAATGAAACACATTTATTCCATACACCCTCTCCACCTCCGAATACACTAGTCGGTGCAATTATTTTTAGCAGGTCTGCGAGATAGAGGGAGTGAGAGAACAAGAAAACAACACACCAGATTCAAGTGCATTATTTTTCTGTGCATTTTTGTAATGAATCGGTCCATTCATATGCAACATGAAAAAAAAGGGAACGTGACGATGGAACGAAGCATGTCCTTATGTTAAAACAGAAAAAGAAGAGAAAGCTTATTACTGTTGAAGTTTTCAATGAATTCTCTTCGACATATCGCGTTTACGCTCGTACGCAACAACGAGTGCAGATACGAAAAGTTTCCAATGGCGTCTTCGTTTGGCATTACCAAATTAAGCGTAATTGAAGATGAACAATAGCCGAAGGCATACAAATAGAATTGTCGACTCAAGAATTTCGCAAGTAATTTTCGCATATTTTGTCTCATCAGGAAAACACAACGACGTCAAGTGTCTCAAGTGCCAGTTCTCAAGATAGTTAACTATTTTAGTGAACTTGAACAAAGAACTAGTTGTTTTTTCTTCGTAGTATTTTTCTTTTGTTGCATGAGTAAAGTAATGGAAAGCATTTATTCGAATACTTTATTTTTATTTAAACGTAAACGGAAAAATAAAAGATAAAAAAAAAATGTTAAAACATGCATATTTTTTTTTTTTAACTAATGTCCACCACCACCGAAACCTCCCATCAAACTATCCAAACCACCGGCGGCTCCTTGTTGCAATTGTCTTAACATGCTTTGCAATCCGTTCATTCCACCCATTTGCTGTAACATTCGCGGGTCGATCATCTTGGCCATTTGTTGATTTAGCTTTGCCATTTGCGTTGGATTCACATTTTTCGTCATATCGCCACCCTTGAACAATCCTTTAATGCCGCCCATTTTCTTGACAACCGCTGCGAATTTCGTATACTGTGAAATCAATTCTTTTACTTCGCGTTCGGTCACACCAGATCCTTGAGCTACACGCACTGCACGAGTTGGCTGTTTACTGAATAGCTTAGCACCATCACGATTGTCCAATTCATTGTCCGACATACTGTCCATCATGGTCATCAAACGTTTTATGCGCGCCATTGATTCCTGTTCGCCACCTTTTGTCATGAAATCTTGTGAGAAGCCCGGAATCATGCCCATAATCTGTGAGAATGGTCCCATTTTCATGATATTCTGGAATTGTTCGTACATATCACGAATTGTGAATTGTCCGTGTTTGATTTTCTCGAGCAGCTCTTCATTGTCATCCAATTTCAATTCATTTACTTTGTCGATAAGACCTTCGATATCACCCATACCGAGCAATTTACTAATGAATGGCTTCGTTTTGAATGGCTCCAAATCGTCGATGTGCTCACCCGTTCCAATGAAAATAATTGGACTCTTTGTGGCCGCAACACTGGAATGGGAAAGTTGGAATGTGATTTTTGGTTTTTTTTTTTTTAAATGTTGTAACAAAATTTTCAAAAGGAAGTCTACATTTTGGGCCATTATGTTAGAAAGCAGACCGAGTTTTTTCGATAAAATAATAGTCAATTCATTGAAAAAAAAATCGTTCACTTTGGAAAAAAAAAGTGCCAAACTTACGCTGAAAGTGCGCCACCTCCCTTAGCATGGCCGTCCAATTTTGTGATAATAACCGAACCGATGTCGACTTTGTCTTTGAAAGCACGTGCTTGAATTTCACAAGCCTGTCCGATTGTGGCATCCATCACGAAAATAATGTTGTCTGGTTGAACGGCAGTGGCAACTGCCAACATCTCTTCAAACAATGATTCTTCTTGCTTGTGTCGACCGCTCGTATCCACAATAATCATTTCAAAACCTTCCTTTTTGAACATTTCTACACCATCTTGGGCAATAATAACCGGATCCACTTCTGTGTAACTACCATAAAATGGTATTCTTGCCTTGGTTGCATTCTGTTTGATTTGATCGTATGCACCGGCACGGAATGTATCAGCGCACACCAAACATGATTTCCAATTCTTTTTCTGATAGTGATACGCTAGTTTGGTACAGGTCGTTGTTTTACCAGATCCCTTCAAAGAAAACGAAATGGTTATTCGAATTTAGTTTGAAGATCCACAAATTTTCAAGCAAATTCCGAATGCTCAAGTAGTTTGAACTTTGACATCAAAGTTCAGTTCAACTTGAGAGAACTCTAAACAAATCTCGTGTTTACCTGCAATCCGACGAACATAATAATATTTGGTCGTCCTTTCACTGGCTGATATGGCTTGACTCCGGGATCGACGAGTTTAACAAGCTCTTTGAAAACAGCCGATTGAATCATACGACGTTTGTTCAATCCGCCAGCCATATCGTCAAAGTCAATGACAGCCCGAACATTTTCACGCAATTGTTTCACCAATCGAATATTCACATCCGCCTCAAGAAGTGCGGCGCAAATTTCTTTCAACATTGAATTCAGCACCTAAAAATAAATCCAACCCATACATCTGGTTAGCACGCTAAAATCAACGACAAAAACAATTGTATTTTGTTTACACAATCGTAAAATACTTACATCTTCATTGATTACAGTTGCCTTGCTAAGCGAATGCAACGCATTCGTAATTTTTCGACCTAAATCAGCTAAAACCATTGTAAATGGGTTTTTTCTTTCTTTTTCGTTATTTGCACTTAATCTAATCCACTATTTGTACGGTCTTATTCTAGATCTATACAGCGAGCATGCGATAGACTCGATCGAAAAATATGAAATAATTGAAATTGCACAATGATATTCGATTTGATTTCACTTTTCCCTTATTTTACTAAATAATTCGTCGTGTGCCACATGAATAAAAAAAAAAATGTTTCGTGATAGTTGGAGAGAATCTGTCAAAGACAAATTGTTATAATGTTAGCCGAAATCGCGTTGTTTACGTGTGTGCACAAAGTAAAAGTGGCATAAATTGGTATAAAATGTGATTGTCAGCTGGTTTGCGAACGCCATCTAGCGGTGAATGAATGAGGCGAATTGGATGAATTTTGGGGAAAAATTTACAATTTAAATGAATAAAAATTAAATGAATGGTTGTAAATGTTAAAAAATTTAATGAAAAATTATATGAAATGGATTAATTTCGAAAAAGTACATGAAATTGACCTAGAATCACCTCCAAACCATTTTATAACAACATCCACTCAACCAAAGTCATTCGACAATGTTTTCGTGATTTCAGTTCAATGGATGGAAATGTTCATTTGTTCAGTGTGAATGACGTGCGAGTAATCAGATGCAAGAAAAACAATGAAATTACGAGCAAAAACTCAAATCGGACAAAAAAGTAAACAAGTTGATAAATTTAAGCGACGCATTGAGTCAATTTCATTTGAGTTGAACGAATTTTTCTGAAATTTTCTGCTGGATTTCGAAATCTAATGTAAATACGATAAACGGAAACACCTCATAAAAAATTGAGAAAGCAATAGATAATATAGTAAGGTTTTTTTTTTTGTGTATATGTATCATCACCATCAGAAAGTGACAACAAAGGAATTTATATATCAGCAATCAAAATATGGTGCTATTGGTGTGAATAAGAACCTAATTAAAGCAACATTTTCATATTGAATCCGGGCAATCGGCATTGTATTCCATTGTGTGTGTATATTTGTTCGAGAACACTGACATTCAGAGATACAATCAATTTCGATGTGAAAGACCAAAACAAATATAGAAGCAGAGAGAAAAAAGTGTGTTGCATGACAGATTGAACGTAGTACGGACAAATTGTCATTACTTTTACATTCGCACTGTGAAATACTTCAATTGGTGAGTCAACCACAACAACAACAACAACAACAACAACAACAAAGTTAATCATTATCGCATTCTCAACCTCGCACATAATATCGAGTTTCATTTTTGTTCGCTCGCCGCCTTTTCGAAGCAGAAGAACAGAAATTATATTTGATATGCGAATGAGAATGAGCAAACACTTGTTCTGAGAAACCATACATTCTCATATCTGCTTTTCTTTCTCTCTCTCATACACACTTCCCGTCGTTGTTTACTTACAGAATTTTTTAAGCGGCAGTAAACAAGTGGAAACGTCAAAATGCCGATTTTATACAGTGTTATATCGCGTGGTACGACCGTACTGGCGAAAAATGCAGAATGCGTTGGAAATTTTGCCGAAGTTACCGAACAAATTATCAAAAATATCCCATCACACAATCACAAATTGACCTATGCACATGGAAACTATTTGATTCATTTTATTAGCGAAGATCGTATCATTTACATGTGCATTACGGATGATGAATTTGAACGGGCCAGAGCCTTCATGTTTCTCACCGAAATCAAACGACGATTCTTGATGCAATATGGCTTACAAGCGGCAACGGCCATTTCATATGCCATGAACACGGAATTTTCACCGATTCTCGCATACGAAATGAAACACTATAGCGAATCGAATGAATTTGATGCCATCTCACGGGTGCACGGACAAATTGACGAACTTAAGGATATTATGGTCAAAAACATAGGTAAGGTTTTGGATAATATGAAGAACAATTTGAATAATTATGTAAAAATATTTATTGGAAACAACCTGTTCATTTATTTTCCACAGAAAATGTGACAGCACGTGGCGAACGTCTTGAGTTATTGGTGAATAAGACGGAAAATTTGCGCGACACATCGGTATCGTTCAGGAAAACATCACGCAACTTGGCCAGAGCCATGTTTTGGAATAACATAAAAATGGTTCGTACATTGACTTCGGCCAAATTGAAACCGTACAATCAAGATATTTTGCTCTAACATTTCCTTCATTTCACAGTACGTGATCGTGGGTGCTGTAATTTTATTCATCATTTATGTTATCGTGAGTATGGCATGCGGCGGACTGTTGTGGCAGGAGTGTGTCCATAAGCGTTGAAATATCAGCCATAAGCGCTGAAAAAGCAACATCCGACCGAATAAACGCGTTATAGATTAAAAAAAAAAACAATTCAACAAAGCATTAGATTTATCGCTGCGTTCGGTGATAATCACATTGGTTTGAAATATTTTCCTATAATCCTATGATTTTTGTTTGTTTTCTATTCTCTTTATAATTTAATTTGTACCGCATTCAATTAGTTTGTATTATGTTATCCAAATATCACACATTCAACTCTAGTTTGCAACAATGTGCTAAAAAAAAAAATCTGATGTTTATCAGCGACAACATGTTTTTGTTCGTCTTGGAAGAAAAGAAAGAAAGAAAAAGAAATTGTCTTGTGTTCGAATACGACGAATTGTGAAATGATAAAAACTCGAAATTGTGATGAAAAAAACACGGCTGAACTAGATTCGAATAGACTTGCGACCCCGCTTCAAACGGTCAGATCTGAACCATCAAACACATGGACACAAATCTTTTGTAAACATTTTTTACATGGAGAAACAGTTAATATATCAGATGAACAGGATGATCATTGAACACGCATGTTTATTAGTGGTTAGATTGTACTAGAGAATAAGAGTTTCAAATATACTATTTTTTTGAATCACAATGATCCGCATTTTTTACTTTGATAACTGATGGTATGACTCATTTTTCATATCAATTTGGTGGCTTTAATGCAATTGAATGATTCAATTGGATTGAAACATTTTCAGCATAACAGCATATTCATGGCTGGCCCGAGGTGAGATAAAAATATTGAAAGGTCATTTTCTTTCGTTTGATTCATAGTTTTTGCTCAAAAGTGTGTGGTAATATATGTATTTTTTCAATTGAAAAAATATTCGCAATATCCCATTATCACCTCTTAAATGGCGTAAATTGAAAAGTTTCACCAACAGATGCCGCTCGAGTAATCGACTTCAATTTGGATGAGGATTTTTCAAGTGTCCATAACATTTTGAATGAAACTGATTATTTCCGTATGAAACTGATTATTTCCGTATGAAACAAAGCAAACGATTTGCATTTTATTTTTTTATTTAATCGAAAAATAAAATGTCCAGAAAAATATATTATTTCCTTGGAAAAAGCTTTAAAGTTTAAACTTTAGATACATTCAATCTAATTGAAGTGGTCTGGAATTGCACATAGCAGAAATAAGAGCTTAATGCATTAATTTTTTATCGTTGCACTGCTCTCTCGCTGTCAAGTATCTATCGTGTGTTCGAATAAATTCAAAGTCACATAGTGTTCGTTTGCTCGCTCAAATGAAAGAATTGCAATTATCAAAAATGGTTTCATTGATCTCTTTAAAATAACATGTCTTCTAACAATTTATACAATTCGTATGTATATCCCAACAAAAATCCAATATTGAATTCCATGCATTGTGAAATTATGCTCAATTGTTAACAATCAATAACATCTAAATATAAAATTGATGATTTGCTTTGATCTAAACTGACCAAATAACCATTATTATTGAAAAAGGAATGTATTGAATCAAACTATATATAAATTGCAAAACCAATGATTGGCCGATGGTCTTTGTAAACAGAACTTAGCCTCCACTATTTTTCCTCATTAACAATTAACAACTAAAACTGCGATTTTCGTTGACGTTTCACGCTTCACTTTCATCGCTGATGTAAACTGCGTCGCCGATGGAAATTTTTCCCGTAACTCTAACGCCCATCTGAGTGCCCATAACTGGACTATTATTGGGAATTATCGAGCGATTCTTAACCAATGTTTCAAGTGGTTGATGTTTTGGATTACGCTCACCAGTCTCCGGATTGATATTAGTGAAAATACATCTGTTTCATGGACAAAATTATTGCAAATTAATGTTAGATCGATGCCAAAAGAGAAATTCTATTGCTAAAAAAATGAAAAACGCTAAAATGTGAACAAAAATCTCCCATTCCTCACCTCGTGCATGGTTTTAGTACGCGAAAAATGACATCATCGCCCACTTTAACCCATTTCCACTTGTCTTCATCGTATGCATCAGGTCCTTCGACAACCAGATTCGGACGAAATTGAAGGGGTTTTACCACGTGATCCAAATGTGAGTTTAATTCGTCGATTGATCCTTGGTTTATCAGCATGTAACTGGTTTTATCATGATAGGTTCCTGCATCTTCGTTTCTGTATGCCTTCCAAACTCGATCATTCTTCGAAACTCCCTTTGTTGGATATGAATATGGATAGTAAAGTAGCCGCAATACACCGGGCTTGCCGACAATATATTCAGACAACCAATTGGCAGCCTCATCTCCAGCATCTATGCCATTCACCTTCGCATACCAACATTCAACTTTGCCGTTGATCGACTCTTCTCTCAGTTCATCCAAATTCAGTACAAAATTTGGTTTATCTGGTGCAGACAAAATCAGTTCGTTTCCAACGACTTTTGGCTGGATCAAAACCATTTTTGGATGAACTCGAGCTGTGGTCTGCTTTCCATTCTGCGAGATAATGAAACAACGATCAAAAAGACCTTCATATTCCACTCCGAGCAAATGACAATCGAACGAATTCCGCTTGACTGGCGCACATGATTTCACTGGGAAACAGTTCAAATCAATGATTTGGCCCACTTTCTTCCATCTGAGATAGGGATTTCAGTATTGAAATTGAGCAATCGTCTTTAAAAAAAAACGTGTAATCTTACTTAGTTGGAATCGGTTCCTCTGCTCGCTTCAAATACAAGTATGCCAAACCGGCCACAGCAGTACCTACAGCCACAGCCGTACCTACAATCAATTTGGTTTGATTATCTGAAATAAAACGAGATTAACAAAGTAATGTTGATAAATAGACACTTGAAATCACAACTATTACTGAGTCGCGATGATTATTTTGCTATATTATTTGCCAATATTTATCAGTATTCGTCCTATTTTACACAAAGAAAAAAACATTGAAAAGACAGACTTAATTGATTTATTTTAGGGAAATTCTTCTGCAATTGCACAAATTTTAAATATTCTTTCAATATTTGATTCAATTGTGTTCTCTGATATTTATTTCAAATATTTCATATCAAGTGAAAGTCTCTTGATGAATGTCACATGCTTATGCAAACTGGTTTTCATCACACAAAAACCACATATTTAGTTGTGCTCAAAACTCGCTTTAAATTGTTTCAAAATCAAACAATATCGTGATCACTTTGATTTATTACAAGCCAAAACAACTTTATGTTTTGATGCAAAGCAAAACTTTTTTCTCAATTCTTACCAGACATCTCTGTCACAGTGAATAAGTTCCGTGCAAATGCACAGATCTATGCCGACTAACAAGTTACACTGATGCGCAAAATTTAGACGCAATAAATAGTCTCTATAAATCACCATTGATAAAAAATACATTGATACAAATGCATTTTGATAAAAAAAATACAGCTACTAGTGACAATGGTAAAATGGAATACCAGAGATTATATGCTTCACTGAGTTTGAATGTACTTGTTTAGGCTTTATATGGCTATACATCTGAACGAACGACATACACATCATCCTAATTTTGAGTGTAAATGTTCGAAATTGATGTACTGTGTATACAAACATGCATCAACGTGATGTATGTATACATATATACATATGTTTTATATGAATTAATTGAAAACACAATGAACGTTATCTCTTATGTTTACTCTTCGAACGTTTTTTGGTCTCTCAAATGTGTAGCACACACAAGCATAACACAACGTTTTTGTTTATTTATAGAAAATGCGAATAAAAAAATGTCTCTATCAATGTGACCAAATTGTTACAGCACACGAATAGATTTCTGATTAAAATTAACCTCTTCGCCTCAATTTCATGGCAAATACACACTTTGAACATATGATCAACAATATTTTGGATTTTATTGAAATTATGGACACAATTGAGTTTTGAGAATGAGGTTGTAGCAATTGTCGACAAATATTAGTACAGTCTGTTATTATTACTTATTTTCCGAGTCTCGATTATACTTCCTCCCCCATTCTTTCATTATGATCATTTCCAACTGTACAGTGTACAGTCTGTTAAATCATCTCGGATCACATAATAAATCATGTAATTTAATTGTTGCATTCATTGTAACTTCTTTTTGCAACGTTTCCATAGAACTTTTGATCGACCATAAGTTCTTCAACGAATATACGTACATGTAAAAATTGACAAAACCTAGATACTTTCGTAGATAAAAATTTTTACACAATAGTAATATTTGTACGCTTTGATGCTTTCTCCATACGCGGTCAATATCAAAACAAATACTGAAAACTTGAAAATTGTGTAATTATCGTTATACTTTTAATTAAATTGTAATTGTAATACCTGTGATGGGTACAATAGAACACCAGATCATTTGAATCGAAATAGGATCTGAGTAGATATCATTTGATGACAAGAACAAACAGAAAATATGCAACATTGCAAGAAAAATATCCTTGCCCATAATGTCACTGTTATACATTACCCAAACAAGAATATTCAAGCTAAACACGGTTATGGGAAAGACAAACGCAATTAGGACCATGCCATGTTTTATTCGTCTCATGCATTTTAAGAAATTCACATTTTCAACGTCGTCTTCCATCGTTTTGATTTTTTAAATACACACAATTTACACATTTGCAAAAACCAGCTGTAATCATATATTGACAGTTGAATTTTCATGAAACAAGGATCATACCCACACAAATGTACTCACATATGTGTAAGTTACACACATCCGTATGCTTCCACGCATATTAGAATTCACCAATCATGATTAATGCAACAGAAGATATATTTTGTTTCGGCTAAGATAATTTCCAACTAAAAAGATTCATTATGGACGAGTGTAAGCGGTAAAACCTTCTAATATCACGTCTATTTAATTACCTGTCACTTCAACGACGGCCAAATTCGTATTTATGAATGAGTTGAGTGAAAATTTAGCTATTTTTGAAATTCACGCGTAAATGATGAGAGAGCGACATCTGGTGAAAAGCATGTGCTAACTGAAGCTGACACTCTGCCAAAAGTCAAACACGGCTGTCATTCTCAGAGTTGTTGTCTGTGACACGCGGTTTTGTTATTCTTCGGTGAAAACAAATCAAACTGAATCAAATAAATATAAATTACGATGGAAGTTGAAACGGAATTTAAACATTCAATTAAGGTGCCGATGCAGTACAAAAAAGCGGCCAAAGTTCTGAAAAACTCAATGGAAAGTAATGCTTCAATAAAAGGGCAGATATTTGCAGAAAAACATGCGGTAAACACAACTTCTACAATTCATTTTCGATGTAAATTATCCAAAGTTTGTTATCTCACGTCAAAATTGTCGTCTCTTTCGTAGAAAACCAACCGTTTATATGCATTAATCAGCAAAATCTCACAAAATAAGGGGACAATCGATGCTCTGCTGGAACGGAGTAAGATTTTGGAGCGAGAAAATCGACTTGACAAGTATTTGTGTTACGTTTTGGTAACCGAATTGGTGTTTGGAGCAAAAAAATTGAATGGAGAGTCAAAGCCGGTATTGTGTGTTGCTGGTTACGAAGAGAAATTCAAAGAAATATTAGCAGAAATCCAAAATGAAGGGAAATCTGGAACTAGCGCTGGTTCGTCCGTACAAAATAGCGGTATGCCTGTTTAGTCTTTGTTCTTCGAATGACTTGGTTCATGTCAATTCTTGAATATAATTTGCTATTATTATTAATTGGTTTTTCTTTCTTCACCATTTTAGTGGCAAAACCTCGATATGTTCGTGTAAACAGAAATCAAATGTCACGATCAGAGGCTATGGAAGTATTTGCCAACGATGGATGGATTGAAGTAAAATGTGAAAATTACGATGATTTCCTGAATGCAATCGAAAACTTCAGTGACGAGCAATTCGTTGCAGATATACATGTAAAAGACTTGTTTGTGTTCCCAGCGAGCAGTAAACGATACTGGGCATTGAGCAGTTTAACCAAAGAATCTAAAGTCATTCTTCAAGACAAAGCCAGTTGTTTGCCATCATTCTTATTGAGCCCGCCACGTGGAAGTTATGTATTGGATATGTGTGCCGCACCCGGTATGAAAACGTCGCATTTGGCAGCCATCATGAAAAATCGAGGAACAATTTGGGCAGTGGAACGAGATCGAAGACGTTTCGAGACATTAACTCAATTTGCACAGAAAACAAATTGCAAAATTGTCAAAACCATCAATGACGACATCCTTTCGATAGGTCTGTTGAAATTGGCACGATTTCTATTGAATTAGCACTAGACTTATCGTTTGGAATTTATTTTAACAAACATGCTATACATTTCAGATCCCGCTGAATACGAATTGGTGGAGTATATCTTGCTAGATCCACCATGCTCTGGTAGTGGAATGACCAATCGCATCAATATTTTCGAAGAAAATTCCGTCGACAGATTGCTTCAATTGCAATCGTTACAATCGAAAATGTTGATTTTTGCATTGAAAAACTTTCCAAACGCCAAGAAATTGATCTACTCAACGTGTTCAATCAATGTCGAAGAAAATGAACAGGTAATATCATGTTTTAAGCTTGTGAGAGAAAACGGGAAATTAATCTGAAATTATCACCTTCTCAGGTCATTCAACGGGCACTCGAAATATGCACAGACAGTTATTGGAAATTGGTGAAACCAATCGAATTTGCGGAAACATGGAAAAATTTCGGCAGTCCCAAGTACAAACACATTGGCAAAAAGTGTCTTTATGCCAAACCAGATATTGATCGAACCGATGGATTTTTCGTGGCAATATTTGAACGGGAACAGCAAACCGAATAAATTACACGTGTGTAATGTTGACATTAATTGAAATATCCATTCTTTTTGTTTGTTGAATTCTTGAAATAAATCCAATTTTTATTCTGAATTTCAATAGTTATAAATGACATTCAATGTACACTATTCCATGAGTCATTCAATCAAAAGGCTTAGAACGATCGGAAAGTTGTTCGTTTCAAACGATGAAATCAGTCGAAAACGTGCTAAATAAATGAACCATCAAATTTACATTTAAGTGAAGCTCGACTTACTCTACGTTTACAAAAAACATATATGTTCATTCTTTTCTTTGTTGTGATTTCATTGTCAAGAAAATATAGTTTAAAGGGAAAAAAAATCAATTCATAAATAAATTTGAAAATTGTATTCAATGGAATGGTTACGTTAATTAATCTTGTGTCATTTTAGTATGAATTCTTCGGCAAAAGAAGATTGTCGTGTTGATTCATCGCGGATAATTATGTGCCAATTATACGTTGACCTGAATGTATAACTGCCACATATTTATTTACCCAAAACCAAAATCAGTTGCGAAAAATATTCTTTGGAAGCAAAATGTTTATAATTTATTATAAATTAACTCTAATCGGCGTATATACAGATCGGTATTTGTGATGATGTCCATTTATTGGGCAAGTGCTGCTAGTACGGTGGCGATCTTGTCGATGGATTCACGGTCAAAATGGTTCTGTGGTCACCTTTCACTGTCACAATATCTGCTTTGCTGGTAACAACCTGGAAAATACGCAAGAAAAAAAATTCGATTAGTTTATGTTCAATTTCGAGGCGATAAAATGGGCAACAAAATGACGCTCACCTCTGACAAACCGTAGTCAGCGGCCAGTTTGACGTAGTTTTCGGTTGGTTTGAAGAGAGTTACATTGCTGGCAAGTTTGCGTTCTGGTTTGTACAAATGAACTACCTTGAATTTCTTATAGAATGTTGATACGGCCAATTGCACAGTTTCCACTGGGTATTTTGTCTTTTGGCTAATGAGTTCGGCGACGGGTTTCAATTTCAAGTCGAGTGATGCAAGAGAGTCAATTTCTTTAACGGCCAAACCGAATGATTCGTTTTGTGATGCAGTGGCACCACCTTCTTTACGTTGTTGATGGGCCTCTGTGTGCCATCTGACGTATTTTGGTGAACCTTTTAACATGACAAGCGTGGCTTTCTCCGGCCATCTCCAAAAGTGTTACCATTTCAAAAGCGACCATACTGACTCCGCTGCTTTCGGCCTCGCGTTTATCAGCGACGACCATTGAATCGAGAACTGCGTGTGGTTGTTGCATAAAGAGATCCATGGTTTGCAAACAGAATGCCACACGTTGTGGCAAAGTACCACCAACAACGGTGTCGTTGTCACTAAAACTGACAAACCAGTATCACTAATGGTGCCAATTTGAACGGCTGTACCTGGGAAATCGGATGCTTGGCGATTTTCGCAGATTCGTTCCATGACTGAGATGATCATACCGTAATTGGTTTGACCGATGTTACCACGTCCGCATGACACATTCGAGAAACAATCAAAGTAGTCCAACAATGGGCACGTATCTCGTGAATCAACATCCAATTGTTTGGTTCCGTCGACTTTTGGTACGTTAACTAGCTTAAAATCGCCTTCAGTTTGATCGTCCAACAAACCTTCACGCAAGACAGCGGCAAGGTTGAAAATACCACTGACTGGAACTGGACCGAAATTGTTTGCTTCCTTGAACAAATGTTGTGCTCCCAATTGTGGCCATTGTCTGTTCTGTATCGATAAAAATATGTTTTAAATTAAATGAATTTTAAAATTTCCAGCAAGAAAAAGGCCTCTAGCATAATTCATTGTAACAATCGATTCAGATTAAGAAGTCAAATCTTCTATCAACCGTATTAATAACAGAAAATACAAGACATATATTATACAATGTACACGTATCGGCGCAAGTATGTAAGCATTGCTATAGCCGAGATCGTATATATGGAACTCATAGACAAAACGTTCGTCGTTAGACTAAACAATATTCTCAGTTCTGTATTGTGACTACACCACTGGTGCAATGCGCGCATTTACATGCCGACAGCCGACTCAAACGCATGTAACGAGGTTGAGTCGGCGACATCCACGATTGCCGAATCCATGTGTTGCTCGTTCGCGATGTGTTGCCGCAATGGAGCACATGCACATGTTGTACGGCAACAAGGGTTTGTTATGCGTTGGGTGTGCGTCACCACCGCCAATCGGCAACAGAGACATCGTCTCACCGACTGTATAAGTATATAATTTTGTTTTGATTACGGTCTCGTGCTGCCGCATGTCGGTAAGCTCAACTTGGTATTTGTTAACTGTAGTGTTGAGTTTATGTGGATTCAGTTGGCGTGAGAACATCCAACAGTGTGGATGCTTTATCAGTTTGATTGGAGCCTTTTTTTTCGATTCCATCGAAGTTTAATAAACGCAAAGTGATGGAGCAATTTCCGGATAACGTTTTTTGTCAATGTTTCTGTTTAAATTAAACATTTTTTGTTTGTTCTGATGAAGTAAAAAAAGTGAAAATATTCAACACGCACAACAACGACAACAAATCAGTGGTGTCAATTGATCGAATTTCGTGTTATGTAAAAAATGCATTTTCTAGTGAAATGATTTTGAGTATAAAATGTTACTGGAATTCCCGAAAGCAATCCATATAATTTGTGGATACACACATTGACAACTGAATAAATGATGAATTCAAGTGTGAGCGTACAAAGAATCTCTTTGAAAGAGAAAAAAAAATCAAAGCGAAACCTAAATTTACAGTTCTTGCCAACGAAAATATCAAGAAATGAAACAATTTTTTTTTTGTTCAAATATATGCTTTTTGCAACAATTCATTTATTTTGACTTTTTTTCTTCAAATGTGGTGTATCGTTTAGTGTTGTTTGTAATTGAATGTGTGTGTGTGTGTCTGTGCTTACGCTAATTTTGACGCAATCAACATACAAGTGCAGAATCTTGCGTAAATATTTACAATCTGTTTGTTCGAGATGCGCTCAGTCGAACGATGAGATTTTATTGAAATTAAGCGAAAGAAAATGTGTGAACAATATAAAGCGATTTGCAGTAGCAGCAATGCGACGATTGATCTAAAGAAATGAACATTTTCGCTAGGGGCATTTCTCACGAAAAGAATGAATGAATTCTTATGAATTTTGAAAAATTTCTTCCGTTCGGTCCGATTCGATCAATTTTTATCTATTCGTGTAAATAAATGTTCATTTACACTGAACTTGTGTTCTGGAAGTGGGTTTTGGTGGATCTCAAGGATCGTTCAGAACTGCTCCCGGTTCTGGAAGTGGATCTTCAGGATGGGCCAGAGCATTGTCAAACCGGATCTGGTCCATCCTGAGGATCCACCAAAACCCACTTCCAGAATCGGGAGCAGTTCTGAACGATCCTTGAGATCCACTGAAACCAACTTCCAGAACACTTTTATTCAAGCAATATCGTCATTTCAGTACATTTTCTTACAATTTCAATCAAAAAGAAGAAATAATAGACATTTTTGCACATTTGCTCAAATTTTTTGTGTGAGAAATGCCCCTAGCATTTTCGTGTTTCAACCGAAGTTCGGTGTGCTTCACTCGTCATAAATATATGCACATCACGGCCAAAATTAGCAAATTTCTGTTGAAAACCATTATTGCTGTTTCTCTTGCTCGATATATTCTAAGCCTGAGCGTTAAAATGCAAAGCGGAAATCTTTCATTAATTCAACACTCTTGAATGTCGGCAAAAAAAAAATTATCACATCAATTGAACCGATCACATACATGTGTATGTGCGTGCATTATTCAATGGTAAATATGTAAAATTGAAATTGACGCCTGAATCTTAAACAGTCGTAAGACGAAATCAATTCTCTTTAACACATTGCCTGCTACTATGTGTATGTGTGTGCGTCTCCGCAAATGATATTATTTTTTTCACTACATTTTGCATTCGCTTGCAAATGAAACTCCACACTAATTTTAGCCGTTTTGACCCACGACGAGCATATTATTTAGCTCACTTATTATGTCGTATTTATAAACGAAATTCTGTAATAAATGAATTAATTGAAGCTCTCAAAGAAAGTCACAGTCTTATACGTGCATAGGCTAATACATTTAATTTTTCCAACTGAGTAAATATTTGCTTTGTGTGAAAATAAAAACGTTTAATGATCTCGTTCATTTACTTGATTGAAGAAAGATATTCATACGGCACATTATTTTGGATTGAAATGATTGCACCTCAACTCACACTAACTACATGCATTAAAAAAAAAGGGGTAAAAATAAAATGAGCCAAACACTTTTGATTTCTTTCAAAACATTTACATGCATTTGCATATGAACATTTATTTATATTCATTTTATCTGCTTACACTCTTTTTTCGATCGGCAATTGATCTAAATGGGTTTCATCTAATTAAATAAAATGTATAAACATTCACCATGGACGTGGTCAATTGAAATTTAATTATACCACATAATTAAAAATAATTATGTTCGCCACTAGAAGGTCAAAGAAACTCGAATGCAACAACGAAATGAAAAAAAGTAAACATGAAATTCGTGGCAAGTTCATTCAAAACAATTAACACGAACACGATGGCAATTTTGTTGTTCATAAATCCAATAATTTATTACAATAAACGTGTAATTTAAATACCCATTTTGGGATATATCCATGTGTTGTAGAAATATTTATTAAAAAAATTCTACATGACCTGTGTGCTTGGCCAGCAGTTATTTTCAATTGTTTTCAATTTCGATATTAATTATCTATTTTTGTGGGTTTAGATTTAGAAATCATATGCATTTTATCCACGTGAAATGGATGAAATTCAATCAAATGCACCTGCAGAAGATAGAATCGGAAAATCAATTTCATTTTGCATCTGACGCAATTTGCTGGTTTTTCCCTCTCTTTCAAACTTTAATTGTGAGAGCGCTGTACCATTGACGTAAACCATTAAATTTCACATGCGTCTCAATTCTCTCCATTTTCATTTCTTCTCCAAACGAAATATTACTCTCATTTGAAATTTAATTCGTTTTCTATGCTACATGGTTCCGCATGACGCTCAATGCAAACAACGAACAAAATACGATATTTTTTAACTATGTATTTTTACAGTTACAATTTGAAATGGATTCAAACATGAAAGCCAACACGAAGCAGCTATACCGAAAAGGTGAAGCACCTCTGGCTCAGTATTTGTTTGGTTGTTTTGAAAATAAAATAACAACATAAAAGAATAGTAAATGAACACTGAAAGTGTGAAAATCGAAGCCAGCGATAATAAAGGAACAAGAGAAACAAATGTGCACGTAAATTAGATACACACCAATTTCTATTTAAATGAGATTCAATTGGAATTGTAGAATTTGGCTTAAGCTGCATGTTTTCTTCTATTTACATTGAATTTGCTTTGTTCCTTATAGACGAGCAGTATACGCAAGTACAGTGAAGTCTGTGTCAATAGAACTTTGAACGTGTTTTGAACGTATTATTGTACACTAGGCCATTTCACCATGTTGAAAAGTCGAAACCAACATACACATTCTGAATCGGTAGAGCCTGTAGATTTTAAATATATAGTTTTTGTGTTATAAAATTCATTCCTCGCGAGCAAAATTGCGAATTAATAAATAAATGAATTTGAAAGGTTTTATCATGAACCGTACAATACGTTTGAGTCTCGCATCATAGCAGATTTCGAATGTTTTTGCAATGGATACTTTGCATACGAGATATATGTATTTTCGACATCACAGTGACGAGCTATTGTTTTTTTTGAAAACGCAGTGGGGTACCAAAGGGATGTCTAAAAGAGGTTTCCAGAATTCGAAAATTTTCTCCAAAAATGGTTGGGGAGACGATTTCTGAGTGATTTAAATATATTGAATTAATTTCTGGCTAATTGAATGATATTTCCATTGATAAGAGCGCTACAGGATAAACGTATAACTTATAGATATGTTTTTTTCTAAAAATACTCATTTTATAGCAGATTTTTCTAAAACTCATTCTCCAGAACTGTAATTTTAGAAAATTGCATCTTGAGGTGTGTATTTTTAGAAAACACATACAAAATACACGTATTTGTATTTCAATGTGTTTTTATCAAAATTCATACCTAACGATGGATTTTTCTAAAATCATAGTGCTATTACAGGAGATTTAGAAAAATCCACAATGGAACATGGATTTTTATAAAAACCATGGTTAAACGTATCATTTCTCAAGTATTATGATGAGTTTCAGAAAAATATATACAAAATGATAGAATTTCATAAAATCGCAGTTCTGGAGAATGAGTTTTAGAAAAATCTGCTATAAAATGAGTATTTTTAGAAAAAACATATCTATAAGTTATACGTTTATCCTGCAGCGCTCGTATCAATGGTAATATCATTCAATTAGCCAGAAATTAATTCAATATATTTAAATCACTCAGAAATCGTTTCCCCAACCATTTTTGGAGAAAATTTTCGAATTCTGGAAACCTCTTTTAGACATCCCTTTGGTACCCCACTGCGTTTTCAAAAAAAACAATAGCTCGTCACTGTGATGTCGAAAATACATATATCTCGTATGCAAAGTATCCATTGCAAAAACATTCGAAATCTGCTATGATGCGAGACTCAAACGTATTGTACGGTTCATGATAAAACCTTTCAAATTCATTTATTTATTAATTCGCAATTTTGCTCGCGAGGAATGAATTTTATAACACAAAAACTTTATATTTAAAATCTACAGGCTCTACCGATTCAGAATGTGTATGTTGGTTTCGACTTTTCAACATGGTGAAATGGCCTATTGTACACTCTTTTGTATCAATTCAGACAGGCATTACTTTATTTGACATCTATTTTTGTGACAAAGAATAACTGAACTGAAAGCCGATGATGTTTAAAATAACTTTTGACGTTGACTGACCGTCAGTAAACTTTTCTCGTGCAATGACAGCATTTTACAATTGTTGCAACTTCTTATGTATATGTCTAGAACAGAACAGTAAAATGAAATTCACATTTTCTGCATATGTAACTCAAACATATTTTTTCCCAACTTGAATACTTTTTCATGTTGAGATTTAAAATTGGTTTTTTCGCTCACAAATACACGTTCACTATAGCATCTGTTGCCTTTCAGAAAAAACTTCTTAAGTTGTGGAATAAAATTGTATATTTTGCATCTCGTGCATATATATCGAATGTTTAAAGTGAATTGGAAACGCAAAATTCATTCACCGCACTCGTGCAGCTGTGAAAATTCGACGGAAATTCGTTTTCCTATACATCATACATCCAATGAATAAATATAAGGCTTATAGAAACCGTTTGAGCTTACACACAAAATTGAGTGTTTTTCATCTAGCCTGATGTCAAATGACATATGAAGAAAAAAAGTTAACAAGCGATTAAACGCATTGAAGCCTGTATGGTCTTGGTCTCACACTCTATAGATTCTATAGATTCTATAGAGAAATAAAGTGTCGTCACCCATCAGTAGATGGATTATGAAACATCGATTTTTTCCCTATCGCCCTGCGGTTGAGAACATGAAATGGAAAACGAAAATAAATTGCAAAAATGAACTCAAATTCCACAACAGTACGCATGTGAGTGAACAACAAAAAAAGTGTCCGATGATTTATGTGCACAGATAAATTGTATCTCAAGTGAAGTGTAAGAACTATTGCATTATCAATGGCTTTTAGCACTTTATAGTTGAATTAAAATTCCAAATCTACTCGCATACAAACATATAAATCGTTGCTTTTAACGCGCGGCCCCTTGATTATCCATGAGACAATTGATGAAACGAATAAATTGAAACTGTGGAATTCATTTATTTTATAAATGCAAAACAGAAAACAAAAGCATTTGATTTATCATTCAGCTCTCTTTATATTCGATGTCACAGCGAATTTCATTCCATTTCAACACTGGATTCATACAA